TTTTATCCGCGAACATCTGCTTTCATACGGTTTCACCCGCAAACATGCTTTTATCTGCAAACATCTGATATTATCCGCAAACATCTGCTTTTATCGGCAAACATCTGCTTTTATCCGCAAACATCTGATTTTATTTTCAAACATCTGTTTATATCCGCAAAGATTGGCTTTTATCTTTGAACCGCGAACGCCTGCTTTCATCTGCGAACATCTGCTTTTATCCGCAAACATCTCATTTTATCCGCGAACATCTGCTTTTATCCGCGAACATCTGCTTTCATACGGTTTCACCAGCAATCATGCTTTTATCTGCAAACATCTGATATTATCTGCAAACATCTGGTTTTATCGGCAAACATCTGATTTTATAGGCAAACATCTGCTTATATCCGCAAAGATTGGCTTTTATCTTTGAACATCTGCTTTAATCCACAAACATCTGCTTTAATCCGCAAACATCTAATTTAGTCCGCAAAACTCTGATTCATCCGATTTCACCTGCAAACATCTGCTTTTATCTGTGAACGTCTGCTTTAATCCGCAAACTTCTGCTTTTATCTGTGAACGTCTGCTTTAATCCGCAAACTTCTGCTTTTATCTGTGAACGTCTGCTTTAATCCGCAAACTTCTGCTTTTATCCGCAAACATCTGCAAGTATCCGCGAACGCCTCCTTTAATTCGCAAACATCTGTTTTAATCCGCAAACATCTGATTCTATCCGCAAACATCTGCTTTTATCCGCAAACATCTGTTTTAATCTCCAAACATCTGCTTTTATCCGCAAACATCTATTTTAATCTGCAAACATCTGCTTTTATCCGCAAACATCTGATTTTATCCGCAAACATATGCTTTTTCCGGAAACATCTGATTTTATCCGCAAACATCTGCTTTTATCGGCAAACATCTACTTTTATCCGCAAACATCTGCTTTTATCCGCAAACATCTGATTTTATCCGCAAACATCTGATTTTAATAGCAAACATCTGATTTTATCCGTCAACATCAGCATTTATCCGCAAATATCTGCTTTTATCTGCGAACATCTGCTTTTAATTGCAAACCTCTGCTTTTATCCGCGTTTGGTTTGCCTGCATTTCCTTTGTCCATTTCGGTCCTGTTTCGTACGCAAACGTCTGGTTTCATTCGCGCTTTTTGTTTTTTTTTTCTCGTGTATACTTTTAGTTTAGTTTACCTGCTTTGTCAAATTTAACTGAGCTTTAACTAACTGGTTGTTAGCCGTTCACGGCACACAACTTTATAACTCTAAAAGGAATTATTTAAATAACCCTGCTGAAAAAAACTGATCGAAAATAGATCGAGTTTAAATCTCGATCATTTTTGATAAGGTTTTTGTCTCCTGTTTTCATGATCAAAAAGGATCGAGTTTCGATATTTGCGGATAAATGCAGATGTTTTCGGATAAAAGCAGATGTTCGCGGATAAAATGAGATGTTTGCGGATAAAAGCAGATGTTCGCGGATGAAAGCAGGCGTTCGCGGATAAATGCAGATGTTTGCCGATAAAAGCAGAAGTTTGCAGATTTGATTTGAAAAGCATGCTTGCGGGTGGAAGCGTATGAAAGCAGATGTTCGCGGATAAAAGCAGATGTTTGCGGGTGAATGCGGGGGTGCACTAACCGGATGATATCAAGAGTTCGCAGATAAAAGCATGTTTGCGGGTAAAACCGTATGAAAGGAGACGTTCGCGGGTGATTGCAAATGTTCGCGGATAAAAGCAGTTGTTCGCGGGTGATTGCAGATGTTCGCGGATGAAAGCAGATGGTCGCGGATAAAAGCAGATGTTGGCGGATAAAAGCATATGTTGGCGGATGAAATTGGACTAGGCAGACGTTTGCGGGTAAAAGCATATGCTCGCGGATAAACCCAGACGCAGATGATTCCGGACAAATTCAGATATAAACGAAACACAGTGAAGACGGTTAAAAACAGATGATTGCAGATGATTGCGAAGGTGCACTAACCGGACATAAAACACAACCAACCGGGTGTTCGCGGATATAGCGATTCGGACAAATGCAGATGTTATCAGATGATATTTTTACCCGCTTTTATCCGGCTTCGACGAAGAATTTATACCCGCAATCATATGCTTTTATCCGGTTTTGACCAAGAATTTATACCCGCAATCATCCGTCATTTTCAGCAGGGAGCATTGGAAATTGTAATCGCTTTAAAAATAAATTCTAAGCTTAGTTTTGCGGAGCCTAATAAAGACATTTTATAGAATCCATATTAAAAATCTAAGAAAATATGTATTTTTTATAATATTGTTTTGTTAGTACAGACGCGGCATTATCTCATTATCAATGGGTACTATTTTTACCTAGCTGCTCTTTAATTTTAGTATTAGTCTGTAATTTTTAATTTTTTTTATAAATGTGTTTTTTAATTATAATTTTTAATAATTATTTTATAAATAAACGCAGTCATTATTTATCTATGTTAGTTTTATTTATTAAAAAAATAATAGTTTAGTTTAATTTTTATATATTTTATATATACACTTAATTTTTTGTCAAATTCAGTTTAATTTATTATTATAAATAGGTAGCTATATTTTTAAAACTTCTGTATAGTATTTATGAACACCATATCTGCTAAATATTCTTAGTATCTAATAAACCGTTTATTATACAAATTTTATAATAAAATATTTCTACAGGTATTCATTTTAATACCTTATAATAAACTATATAACTATAATTACTAATGTTAAAATTAACTAAACATTCAATTTTCTTAGTTTCTTTAAATCCACTGGTATTATTCACAAGTGGAACGCACTCAAAATAAAAACTCTGGCGAGGTGAAGGTTCAATTCTTTCTTTTAAAATACTATTTATATTATTTTCCTAAAAACGACAGTGCTAATCAACCGCGCTAAGCCTGAAAAAAAAAATTATAATTAACCTGCAATTAGTAGACTACTTTTCACCATCTGTTATTAAATATTTAATTCATGTCTACATTACATTGATGACCACACTTACACTTTTTCTATGACTTACACTTTGTATTTGTATACCCATAGATACGTCTATTATTCTTAATAATACCTTTATTCAGGAGTCCAGTTATACCATATTCCTATATCATTATTTCGTTAACGTATTAAAAATATAAGATTTCTCTGAATAAAGTACATTTACAGAAATACATACTCGTGGCATTAAATGGCCTCCGTACACTGTTGCCAAATTTCGGAGACTAGTTGAATAGAAAATATTCTGAGGTGTATCAACTGGTATACTTATTTTTGTATACATCTGTATATAACAGTGGCGCCCTCATCGGAAGAACGGTGAACCCGATTGTGTAACTGTAGGTGTATCCAAGTGGAATTGACCTCCTGGCTAAAATTTGCCACACGTCCTAAAATGACCTTGACTACCCATAGTAAAGAGATACACGTGCTTACCATTTGGCCTCCGATTTTTCGAATGCGGCTCCGATTTCGGAGGCGCTTTCTTCACAAAAGTATCTATTTCGGATGTGTATTAGCCGTTTTGCATATATATATATATATATATATATATATATATATATATATGTATGCTATATTAATATTATTAATTTATAGTACTACTGCTATATTATAAATAAGATTTCGAATTTGAGAGTTTGAATCTTGATTTTTTTATCCAAAATTGTAAATGTGAAATCGAAAATTTCTTATTTTTATTTTTTCATCTCTGAATTTCTATTCTTGACTGAGAATGTATATTTCCTATTAAAAATTTCAGACTTTCGGTGTGAAGTATTCGATTTCGAGTTTATAATTCCAGATTTGTGATTTTAAATTCACAATTAACCTACCTATGTTTATTTCAAAATATTTAATTCCAAATTTTGAGTTCAGAAATTTGAAAAAAAGAACACATTAGAAACATAATATCAAGCAGGCAACGAATATTTACTACTACAAAAAAAACAAAATTTTTATTTTTTCATATTGAACATTTTTCTTATAGATATTTAGATAAAAAAAATTCTCTTTTAATTTTTCAGTAAACAATATATTTTTCATATATTACATATATGGTAATTTCAGACTTTTTAACAGTTTTTCTCTCCACAATTTACAGGTGGTAAATAGTTGTTCTATAAAGACAATTGATGGCTAAAGCTAATTACCAGTAAGTATATGTAAGTATATGTTTGACAACCATTGGAATCAACGTATCGTGCTTTTGTTTGTATTTGTTTATATTTTTTGTTCAGCGTCGTCTGTTTATTCCAATATTTTTCCTTTTCTTTATTCATACGGGCAATTGTTTGCAAGAGTTTGTGTTATTATTTTTATTATGTATTTTATATTAAGAGATACATATATGTATTTTTGGTTTAATTTTTATTGATAGGACCTGAATAAATGTTATGTTTAAACGTGTTGTTTTTATTTCATATCGCCTATTTTAGGCTGTTGAGGCCTATTTTAGACACTTTTGGCCTAAAATGTAGGTTTTTATTGCCTATTTATGTGTCATAATTTCCAATTTTTAAGGGCCTAAAATCCGGTCTTTGATTAAAACACATGAGATAATGCGCATTATTTACTCTAATGATTTTTATACCTCGCCTAGCGGCTCGAGACGAAAACATCCTCCTGCATTATTTCTTGTATAATAACATACTATATTATGATTAAATTATGGTATAGGTGTTTTAAATTAAGAAAGAATATGTGTTTATATTTAAATTTTAATGTAAAATTAGAGGTATAAAACTAAAAATTTAAAGGTTTAAAGTTAATAAGCAATTAAGTTTAAAACGTCGACTAAAATAAGACAACCAAGGTTTAGGAATCAAGAAGATTTTAGATTTTATATGAACTTAAATATTCAAAATAGGTAGGTATACCAGAATAACAGGCCAAAATTGTTTCATGTTAAGTTGTGCATATTTTAAATAAGGACGCTGTCTGTTGGTTGTTGTTGTGCCCGAAACTCGGGAGACAACTTTCGAGAACCACTTACCTGAAGTTCAGCCTGCGAAACGTCGATTTCCCCTCTGTAGACGAACTCAATGATAAATTTAAGGTCCGAGTAACAAACATCTTGAGGCATTATGATCGTCGGATGCTTGCAGGGATTTTCTAATAACAGCTTTTGGAAATACGACGAACAAGCTGACAAGACTACCTGGAAGAGAAAAGAAAACTTTTAGAGAGGTAGATTTTACTAGATAAAGGCCCTGCAACAGCATGCTCTAAATGGTTGGCACTGTTTAAGACATTGACGTAGATTATTTTGGAATTTACTTTAAAACTACATACCTTAATTACATGAAATATTTTTGCTTTTTGGAATTCAGGTATATGAAATTATTTGGCTTTATTTAAGTAGGTATTCAAAACTACTATTTTATTATATCAATTCTCAATAAATGCATTTTTAACACCCTGTGAATAAATTTTGTATAGTTAATATTGTTAAATATTTTTTTAGAATAAATTATCCACAGATTATAATTATCTGATTCTAACAAAATAAATTTATATTTTATAAATTAATGCAAATTCGTTTTCAATTTTAATTAATTTAATATTTTCTTTTTGAAAATGATTGTAAGAAAAAGTTGTTAGTCTAAATACAAAAATTACGACGAAAATTATAAAGTTGATTTTTCTATATTTTAAACACACTGTAGTGCCAAATTTTATTACGTAAATGTTATTTTTATCTAAACAATTTATTAAGAATTACTTTTCTTCAAAATATCAAAAATAAAAATATAAATAAAATCGATACAGGAAAAAAACAGAGAAAAATCTCTTGAACTGATTTCATGTTTTCCTAATTTTTGAACACCCTGTAGAAAAAAACTAAATTTTTTTATGTCAATGTTATTTTTTTGATTATTATTCGAATAATTCGATCCATTGGAATAATATATTATTAGGTACAACGATTCCAATTATTAAATTATTTAAATAATCTCCAAAAAATAAAATTCGAATGGTACGAATTAAACCCAGTTTCGTATCTGGTAAAATGTTCTACTAGTAGATAAAAAATTACATTATTTTATAAACTATTTAGTGCATCTTTATAAAATGTTGACCCAAGTTTGAGCAAATTGAATTCACAAAAATATTTTGTTAAAATTTCATAATCTTAATCTTAATTACTTTTTTAAATACATTTTGGCCACAAATCCCGTGTGTAGAACAGGCATTTGTTATTTAAAAAATAATATAAATTAAGAACAATGACGAATAGCACGATGATGAAAAGGTTATTGCTCATGAGTCAAAATGAGTCAAAATTGCATGGGGTTTTTACCATAGTAATAAAAATCTGCAAAAACTTATTTTACATTAAGAACTGGGTTGCCTGAGGCAACTTGCCTCACAATATTCCAAAATTCAATTCGTGTCAATATATAAATGTTTTATTGTAGTAAAATCATAAAAATCTTAAATGTTGCAATTTTTTATAAAAAAATTAATCAAATGAACATTCAACTTTAGACACATTATCTGAATTTTCTTTCAAGATTATAAACATACGTACCTTTCAGAAGCTAGATGTAAAAAAATATTGTATTGTAAATTCAATTTGTTCAATATGTGGCGGCTGATGGATTTTGGGTATACCAATATCTCAGTTATTAGACATGGAACCCACACCAAATTTATAATAGTTTATAATGAAATTAAATAGACAAGTTCAGAGGAAACAGAATTTAAATTAAAATTTGCGAAAAAAATACTTTTTCGTGTCGCCTCACCCGCCTCCTGGCCCCCCTATTTAAGATAATTCAAATTAAAGTGGTGCAATTTATAATCTACTATAAATTATCGACAGATAAAATTTTATTTAAAAAATCCAAATATTACAGATTTTATACCATTTTAAATATTTTTTTAAAATTGATTACTTGTCAATAAATAAATGTTTTTGGGGTAAAATCATAAAAAATCTTTCAGGAGTTAGATGTAAAAAAATATTGTATTGAAAAATAAATTTGTACTTATATGTTTATTAGGGTGTGCCAAAAAAACTCGATATTTCTTTTTTCTTGCTCTCCACCCAAAATATCGTAGAATATGCCCGAACAAATATTCTGTTAAAAGCGGAGCTCATAATTTCAATTTTAAGAGGTCCCTCATCGAATCTGAAGTTTTGCCGCTTAAATAACACAGAAAACTGACTGTTTTACCTTATTTATTCTTGCAACCTAGGAAGAAATTTTTTTTTCATAAAATCCATTACCAAATCTTACAAAGCATTAAATTTGGACGAAAAAATCTTATTAAGCCGAATTTCTATTTTCATTATTTGATTTTTTACAGAGCTTTAAATTTAAAATTTTACGTTTTTTGCCTTTTTCAGCTAAACTATTGAAGTTAGACGAAAAAGTCAAAAGGCAATTTTTTAGCTTGTCTGATGGACCACAAAAAAGTTTTAGACGAATTTTTTGTATCGTCAATATTCTAAAAGTTACAGGCGTATAAATTCATCATTTTTGTATTATTAACTTTAAATTTAAAGCTCTGTAAAAAATCAAATAATTAAAATAGAAATTCGGCTTAATAAGATTTTTTTGTCCAAATTTAATGCTTTGTAAGAATTAGTCATGGATTTTATGGAAAAAAAATTTCTTCCTAGGTTGCAAGAATAAATAAGGTAAAAAAGTCAGTTTTATGTGTTATTTAAGCGGCAAAACTTCAGATTCGATGAGGAACCTCTTAACATTGAAATTATGAGCTCCGCTTTTAACAGAATATTTGTTCGGACATATTCTACGATATTTTGGGCGGAGAGCAAGAAAAAAAAATATCGAGTTTTTTTGGCACACCCTAATGTTTATTAGTCCTTCTAAATAAACATAATAATTTCTTACGAACCATTAATTACATTTAGGTGAAAATTGAATTATGTACGTGTGAATGTTTTTTGAAGTAAAAAAAAATAAACAAATGAACATTCAACTTTGTTCTACACACATTATCTAAATTTTCTTGCAAGAATATTAAAAGAAGTACTTTTCAGAAGCTACCTAACATAATTCATTTTTTAAGCGGTGTAATCGCAGCAACGCGTTGCAATGACCCCACTTTGAACGGATCGTGCTAAAATTAACAATTATTGCAAACAATACCAAACTCTGGATTTTCGTATAGTATAGAAGAAAACTTGCGTTTGAACGTTTGTGATGTACGAAACAAAGATTCATAAGAGGAAGCTGTTATCCTACACTCTTAGAAAAGACCTGGTATTTGTAACTAACTTATTATCGTTGGGGTAAAACTGTTGCAGAAAATAAAATTTTTTGTTTTTTGTAATCAGTACCTTTATATGTGTAACTGCTTGCATCATTACCTGAAAAGATTTAGTTTTGTTGTTGAGTATTATTTACTGCAAAAAGGCGATTAAGTTATTTTAACTGAAACTTTGTGTTGGCTAGAAGTATTGACAACATTATCTCAAAAAAATCATTTCGGCGGTAAAATGTTTTTGTTGGACCAAATATTTAAGTAACATTCTCAACTGACTAAAATTAGTCCGTGGAACTAACGGTTCAGTTGTATAAACTATGCGTCACTTTTCACACAGCTAAGACACCAGCGGTGTGAAACAAAGTGTCAGTTGGGGATGTTGTCTCTGTAGGTTAATGCAAATGCAAACTTTGTGCATTTCGCGCGCGATTTGTCCAGCCCGGCGCGTGCTTTACTTTTAACCTGTAAACAAACGGTGTTGCACGGCGTCCAGACTTTTGTATTTGTGTATCAGCTCGTGTGTAGTGTATATTTTAGGTAAGAAACTAGTTTATTACAATTAGTCATTTGCCCCTGTAATTCAGTGGCGATATACTTTTTAACTATTCATATATATATATATATATATATTCTTATGTGTTGGTTACTTATAGATATCTCGAACAAATAATATGGATGAGCGGACTGAAGAAGCAGATTTATTAGGAACATGGGGTTTACCTGAATTGGTTCCAGTTTTTAAAGGTTAGGTATTATTATTGCACTCCTTTAATTACACTATTGTAGTTTTGGGCTCCGAAAAAAAATCCAAAAATGTGAAAATGCCATTCCGACTGAAAATGGCCTCCTGAATCCAATGGTGCCCACCAAAAGTCTCCATCACGTCGGAATTTCGAGAATTTTTTTGGTTTTGTTTTGTTAAAGCTCAAGTCGCATTTTTGGTATAGAGCCTATACTATAGGCACTCACACTCAAAATTTATCGAATGCTTACCCCTGTTATCATGCAAGTATGTTACGTTGTACCTAAGAATCATTGTTAAGTTGTTAAACAAAGGCTTGCACTTCACGTAAACATCACGGTTTTTACTGAAGAAGTATAGTCAACTTTCATCTTAATGTACCTATCTGTGTATATTTACCAAAGAATCGTTTTTGTTTTATTGTTAAAATATTTATAAATGTTTTCTTAGAGTAATTATTAATTTTTGTTATAATGTTTAAACCAAAATTTGGTGTTTTCAGTTATATTGTTATTTTTTAATTTATAATAAATATTTATAAAACAAACGGGCATGAATTTCCTTTCTCTATTTTTTATAATATTTACGCAAAAAGTGTTATATTTACTAAGCAGGTATGTACTGTGGAATAATACCAATTTGTTGTTGCTACTAATGCAAGCATTTAATATTAAATATAACTTAGTTACAGTACAAAACAAATTTTTATTATATCAACTATTAAATTCTTTAAATGTACCTTTTTTCATGTAATTTCAATTAAAAAATAAATTCCTGCATGATACAATGTTTGTTGCGATAAATAGCAAGTGCAGTTGTTACAACTTAGACGCTGCTAAAATGACAGACTAATGTGATTGCATTAAATATCAATTATTTGTATGAAAAAAAAACTAATTTCGATGCACTTAAACTTGTTGGTTGGAGCTACCAATATTGGCTGTTCCGACAACAAACTGTAAAAACAAATTTGTATTAGTTCCCACAACATATTTTTTTGTTGTGCCTATTTTCACTAATAAAATTGGTTCTGGGAACTAAATTTTCATTGCAAATACCAGGTCTTTTCTAAGAGTGTACTGTCATCAAATTTATGAATTGTTTATTTTTAAGTTTAGGGTAACGTAGGTCATGTTATATTAATTTTTTGTTACAAATTAAATTTACTTTTAAAA